AAAGAGATGAGTTAAGCTAAAGAAAAGAGGTGAGTGAAGTTATAAGTTCAAGAGATGAGCAATTCAGCCATAAAATGGAAGGGTACCCGACAGAAGGTCCGTCGCGCGGCGAGAAGGCAGAGACGCAGACGGTCAGCGGACGAGTCGCAGCGCGATGTGGACGTACTTAGTACATTCTATTTAACTTGACGCGAAATCACTGCAGTACGCGCTGCAACTCGTCCGCTGACCCGTCTACGTCTCTGCCTTGTCGCCATGCGGCGGACCTCCTGTCCACCTCAAATGCGAAGACGACAGAAAGCAAACCGAGATATCTTTTTCAGAAACAGCTGGCAAGTCAACGTTCGTCCCAGGAAGGTTGACACCCTTGCGACTTCCTAAAATGGGATCAGTGATGCCCGTAAATGTTGTGGAGGCTTCCTTAAGTTCTGATAACTTTTCGTTGCTGCTAAACGCTTACCCAGCATTCCACCGTTCTCGATAGTGCACGCGATTGTAGTATCCTTTATTTCGTTGACAACAAGTGAAATGAGACCATCGTCGACATACACTCGGGATCCCTTGCTCACAACCTTGTAAATAAAAACATTCAGATGAAAATACGTTGATGTTCTACCCTTCTATTGCGAAAGTAGTACGCGCATTGGACTCTTCAGACTAGACAGAAGTTCCTCAGCAAAAGATACGCTAAATGTCCCTCGTGCAAACCCTACTTCACTGCCCTCACCGCCTTCAGAATGTGACTTCATCTGCTGTCATCGACAAGGAGACCCACCGTAATTGCCAGCCTCAAGCTGCTACAAATTGCTTGGATCGATTCGATAGTGGAAAATTTTTCCAAAAGGATAGTTTTCACTGTACAAGACCCCTCCCAGGCTTTCAAAAACGTCGGAATAGTCCACGATCCGTGAAGGACCTACCGGACCGGATCGTATGAGCTGCTACCTGTTCCGACCAGCTCATCCAGCTTTCAAACGACCTCCACAAGGCAGTCCGATCCAATAAAAATAGCTGTCACAGAAGATCAAAAACCCGAAAAAGTTTACCTTGGTAATGTTTTTGTAGTCCAGATACAGCATTTCCGCAGTACACGCCTCCTTATACTTGTCTTCGATTGTGAGAGTAATTGATTTGCCCTTGACGAGCTCGACCTGAACATTTTCCGTACTGAATTCTATCATTTTGCCCTTTTCCCACTTGGGGAAATGTGAATGATCTAGCGCAGATCACGAAAAAGTCTGATGATTTTGCACATCATCCCGATATTCATTTGAGGGATTCAGTCGATGTCCGCTCTGGAACGACGGGTACGAAGTCGCATGCCGTTTCCGACTCAACTGGTTCTCGACTCCTTCTAGAAAGAACTCCATGTTTCCCTCTGCACTTGTTCACACCTGACATCAGCCTCAAATTCCGGTCATATTGTCGGGAACGCGTATTCTACAGTTCTTCATAAAGGTGGTGACGTGCCTTTTTTCCGAAAGGATGGAATGGATCTTGACGTATCCGTCTTGCTTCTGCTACTCTAACCTCATTAAAGTCTTCAGTCTTGCTTTTTTTGACAAACCTGGATGTAAGCTGGTAACTCCATGTTAAAGGAATCTTCCGCGGAAAAAGCTCCGCCTCCATTACCACAGAAAAACGATACCCCTTAGGCCCCTAGCCTCATGAGCATAGCAAAAAGAACGGAACATAAGCGTTAGTTTCGATAATACTAATCCTACACACAAGACAAAATGATCACTCTTTCCGTGGAAGATTCCTTTAAGGTATCGTTTTCTGTGGTAATGAGGGCGGAGCTTTTTCCGTGGAAGATTCCTTTAACGTACCAGCTCATCCCATGAGAGTGCCTTTCAAACTCTCTACTTCACCAGTTCCATCGTCAAGATATTCGACGAGCCGATGGTGATGATTGAGGTGTCCGATTCAGAGAGACCTTTCCATGAGCCGGCGAGTGGGAAATCCACGAATGTGGAGTCGCATGAACAGTAGGCTACTACCAACGTACGTACGAGCTGCTTAGCTTTATCTGGAGATATGATGAACGACGACCGTTTTGAAATGAAGAGCAGCAGCGCTGGCAGAATCAGCAGAAGCTTGGAAATTCATGGACAGCCTAGGCTTTGTTTCAAGACCAAGATGACCTGCCTTCAAATTCGTAATCTATACATCCTAAAGTGTGGCGGAACGTTGTCCCCAACTATAATCTCTTCGACAGTTGTGCTCTCGTGCTCGAGTTCCATCCTGTTTTTATAATAGATAGTGACCGAATTCAGAATGACGAACTCTTTAGAATCGCTGGTGAAGGAAAATTTCCGAATTTACGTAAGCTCAAAGAAGTGAAGAAAGAACCTCGGCGGTTGCTCCACCGGTCAGTAACCCAGTACGAATCTCAGGTCCTTTGGTGTCGAGAGCGATTCCAATTTGAAGTGAGCCATTCATTTGTTCCACAGCTTGCCGTACGTTTTTGATAGTGCCACCATGATACTGAAACAAGCTTATTACATGAAGCCTGAGCTCCTAGATACCTAAGGCTATACTTGAACGCTGTAACTTCCATAAACAAAGCACAGATGTTGAATGAACCCTTTCTGCCGCTACCGCAGAGGTGAACAGTATTGAAAGACGGGACCATCTATTCGAGCCCACGAAAATTAAGACTAGGTGATGAGGAACTAGGGTACCTTGTAATAACTACGGCATATCGAATAGAGAGACTCGCCCGCGCTCTCTAATGACCGAACTCGTTCCTTGAAGAGGGTGTGCTTAATGGAATAAGTTATTTGGTTCAAGAAGAGGCCTACGCAGCAGAAAAAGTTAGGTGCAGAAAAGCAGTGTCTAAGGTGTTCCCAGCTAACATAAAGTGAGCAGAGACCCGCCCATGACGGGCGGAGCGTGCTCTTTCGTAGTTTATCACAGGTCGGTTCTGAGAAGGCTTAGGCGAGAAAAAGGTGTATAGAGGTCAGAGAAGGATGAGAAGTTGAGTATCAATGGTGGACGTGGTGCGCTCCAGATTGGGAAGAGTCAGCTATTTGACTTGGTCCCAAGGAGTCCCAGAGACCGGGAAAAAGTGGACACAGGTTTACGAAGGGAAGGAGGTCAGCTGCTATTGGTGCTCGTGATGTGAGTAGCGACAGTGGAGCTAAATCCGGAACCATATGGTCTAACGAAGACCGTGAAGAAAGAGGATGAAATTTAGCTTCGAAGGGGCAATCATAAACCTTCATCTTTGCACCACCGTGTGCGGCGGCGTTTTATTTCGCTCTGGTTTACATACTTCTTTTTCTTATCTGATACCTATTTCCACTTCATTTTCTTCCTAATCACGTTCCCCGTACCACTTCCCACCCTCTTCTCGTAAAGGGATAATTTGCTGTTCGTTCAACCCTCGGAGGGCCCCGGTTGCTTTCTCGTTCGTTTTTTCCGACGGCCAGGAACGATTCGATTTTATTGATCTGACCACCATGGCTCGAGGTGGCAAAGCGAAACCTGTGGAACAAGATCAAGACATGCCCATCTGGGCTGCCATGATGATTGAGAAATATGAGACTTGTTGCGAAAAGATCGAGAGGGCACTGACGTCATCCTTAGATAAGCTGATAGCCGAAGTCGCAAGGATAGACAGAGTGCAGGAGTCAATCCTTTCTCGCCTGACAGCCCTTGAAGGCAGCATTGAAGCATTGAGGACATCCTCGCCTGTGACTCAGAGCGCACTATACTCCACAATAGTAAAGGTTCGCGCAGATGAGTCGAAGATCGACGACAAACTTCGCAGGATTGCTTGGGTGGGAGTCGGCGAACAGAGGGATGACGTAGCGACTCGGAAGTTCGATTACCAGGCCCTAAAAGAGGTGATTGAGACATCAGGCGACGAAGAGCTGAAATCCGAATTCGAGAAAGGAGCGATCACCTCACATCGTCATCCCAAAGGACAACCGAGAGGTGTGAACGCTAGAGGTCGAATAATTAAGATTGAGCTGCCGAGCAAAACCCTCAAGGATCGCTTGTTGATGCACATGAGATCAGGGCGGCAAAGCCTTACTAGGGAGTTTGTACATTCGTACGCTCGCCGCGACTACACAGAGGAGGAGCTCTCTCTCGATCGGAAACTGAGAAAACAGGCAGGGGAGCTGAACAGGAAAACAGGGATGCTGACATTCGTTGTGCGCGACCTGGAGATCCACAAATTGCGGAACCCAAGAGAACTTCCAGCTCGCCCGGATACAAATTCTCAGCGCACTCCGACTACCCCACCAGCTGCCGCTTCAGGATCAGTGCTTATCGGAGGCACTCAGGGGACGTCTAGCAGTCACCCTCATGGGCTGGTTTCTACACCTCACCAGCGGGAGACGAACATGAGCCTCATTGAGAACGGTGGCAGCCCGGGAACCGTCTTCTAGGATGAGGCCTTCTTCAATTGGTGTCCTCGTTCGCAACCGGCTACAATCCCTTCTGAACTCTCTAGCTGCTGCATATTGATCAATGCTCGTTCTATCAACAATAAGATACCCGACCTCCACAATCTCCTGTTATCCAACCCTAGGGCAGTTTTCGTCACTGAATCTTGGGTCAAGCCTCATCTAGTACAGGACTCCGCGATCCGCGCTGATTTCCCTTACCAAGTGTTTCGTTGCGACCGGGAGGGTGAGATCATGGGTGGTGGTGTCCTTGCCCTCGTCCACGATTCTACACCAGCTACTTTGCTGTCGTCTTCAAATTTTTCACCTTACCTTCAATGCTTATCTATACAGTTTACAGTTGCCGCTCAGAGGGTCATTGTGGTAGTTTCTTATCGGAGTCCTTCCTGCACAGTTGACAGCTTCCAAACTTTCGTTAACTACTTGGAAGAACTAAGTGAGAAAAACACTCCTACCTTAATTTTGGGCGACTTTAATTATCCGGAAATTACTTGGGAGCCACCCACACCCTCTAATGTGAGGACGATAAACTCTAGCACAGGGATGCTTTCTCTACAACTTTGCAAAGTCACACAATTTCGAGCAATATGTCAACTCTCCAACCCATCATAAGCATACGCTTGACCTCGTTCTTTCAAACAACTCCAACCTCCTTGCCAACGTAGAGGTTAGGGCCCCTTTCTCTACATCTGACCACGCCTCCATTTCTTTCAAGAATAGTGGAGGATAGTCCTAATCGAAGTTGCTCTAAAACGTTCAAAGATTTTGCCGTGGGGATTACGTGAGTATCTGCGAACAATTATTATGTGTTGACTGGCGGCGCGTTTTTGATTCTCTAGAAACATCCACTCTTTGTTATCAAACGTTTGTTAATTACTGCCTTCATTTAATTAGTACGTTCGTACCGAATTGTAGTAAAACTCATATCTCAAGAAAAGAGCCGCGGCAGATTTCACTCCTGAAGAGGCGTGTAATGCGACTGTATTGCAGCGGGCGAGGGATTCGCGATCTGGGTTACTTGAAGGCAGTCAGAACCCTCAAAATGAAACTACAAAAACTCAAGGATAAGCATGAGACGGAAATCGCATTGTCTAAGAACCCTAAAAGATTCTGGAAGTATTGCTCTATAAGGCTTAAGGACTCCTCAAGCATAGGTCCAATCCTTGACCACAACAATAAAGAGTGTTCTTCTGACATTGAAAAAGCTGAGGCTTTTGCGATGTATTTCAAAACTTTTTATACCCGGAAGGTAACAGAAACGATTCCCCGGCCTGGTGACAGCAGAGCAACGCTTGATTGGGTAGATATTACTTCGGAGGACGTTTTTCGAGCTCTGAAATGTTTACCTTTGCGTTCGTCTACATCGCCTGACATGCTTCCGTACATATTCCTCCGTAAAGCGGCTCTTGGGCTCACCTCACCTTTAACCTTACTGTTCAACAGAATACTTCTGAGGGGAGACGTCCCAGACATCTGGCGTCTTGGCTGGGTGAAACCCATACATAAGAAAGGTTCCAAAAGTGATTTTAGAAATTACAGACCCATTTGCCTGACATCTTGTGTCAGCAAATTGATGGAAAGAATAGTTTGCTCCCGGATCAAGGAATATCTTTCCAAGAATCGCCTCATATCTCCTTGCCAGCACGGATTCCTACCTAAAAGATCCACTTTCACCGCTTTAGTATCCACCATTCCCTTATGGCAAAAAGCACTCGATAAGAGGGAAACTGTTTTCGTAGCGTACATCGATTTTAAGAAAGCCTTTGATTCAATCCCGTTGGATCTTTTGTTCTTAAAATTGAAAACATTCGGAATTTCGGGTTCGCTACTAAAATTTCTTATTTCCTTTTTGTGTCATAGAAAGCAGGCTGTTGTGATCAACGACGCCCGTTCAAAGCTGTACGAAACATTCAGCGGAGTGCCTCAGGGCACATGCCTAGGCCCCTTGATGTTTTTGATGTACATAAACGATCTTCCACGGTTCCTGCCTGATACTATAAATTGCACAATGTATGCGGACGATGTCAAATTGTTCTCTTTCAATGAGCCACATTACTACAGCGCTCACTGGAAGCACTGCGGAAATGGTCAAAAACGTGGGGCCTAGAAATATCCCTTGAAAAAACGTATGTCATGAAAATAGGAGCTAGCTTTGAGAACTACGAGTTTCTACTTGATGGAGCTCCTATCAAAGAGCCTTCATTTATCAAGGACCTCGGTCTCAAATATGACAGAACGCTCTCTTTCGACGGATACATGATCAACATAATAAGTTTAGCCAAGTCGCGATGTAACACGATCCTTCGAGCTTTTTCTAGTAGGCATATAAGAACACTATTCCTACTTTTCACTGCCTATGTTAGGCCTCTTTTGGAATACTGTACACCTATATGGTCGCCCACCACTAGATTCCTTAGTCAGCCAAATTGAAAACGTCCAAGTTAAATTCACTGAGAAAATATTTGCGCGAGCAGGCCTATTTCATGTACCGTACGAAGATCGTCTCAGTTACTTGAGCACATCTACTCTCGAGATGAGAAGAAAGATTATGGATTACGACGTTCTCTACAAACTTTTCGCGGGGCACATCGATATTGACTTTAACCTACTCTTCCGAAAATCTGAAACAATAGGTGTAACGCGAGGGCATTGTTTTAAGGTCCTGAGAGAAAAGACTCGTACAAGCATGTACAAAAACAGCTTTTCGCAGAGCAGTCATATCGTTTTGGAATACCCTACCGGCCGACGTCGTCAATTCAATGTCGTCTGAATCTTTCAAATCGAAAGTGAAAAAAATTTTGAAAAGTGAGGGATGGGTTTAGAGCAGCTCGACTTTGTCGATAGCTATCACCTCAGGGACGACTGCATTGAATTTTTTACTTTGATTGTAAGTGGCCGTCCATGAGAGTTCAGTTTCTCTGTACTTCTTCTCTGTATTTGTTACTAAAGTTCTTCTTCCGATCTATTCGTTTTTTCTTCTCATATTGTATGTTCGTGTTTAGCAAAGACCCTCCTGCCTAGGCCACAGACGCAGTACGCGGACGTTGGTGGTGTTGACGGGCCTACTAAGTTGGTACCCGGAGGCGCAGTACATCATGGCGACTTGCAGTGTTGGCGGGCCACTGCTCTTCACCACCAGTTGTCCTACCCCTCCCTCTCGTACCCTTGTTAGTCTTGTTTCCTATTCACTTCCTTTTCTTTTTTCTCTTCCCGTTTTATCGGAAACTTTATGTAACTATGTACTGTTTATGTTCTGTTTGGTTTACCGATAATAAATCATAACATAACATAAACATTAATTCGAGGTGTCCAGCATAAATTATTCAAAGTTTCTGTACGCCCCCTCCCATGACGCCGCAGAATTGTTTGTGCGCGCGCCGGACACCGACATAACCCGGTCAAAATACCATCGCATTTTCTTGCACTTTAACCAAAGGTAAGAAAATCAGAATCTCTTTAGGTGTTGGGTTTCAGAACATCAGTCTTCTAAAGGAAACATTGAGCTGAGATATAACACAGCATCACTCAATACAGAGCATAACAGCATCTTGAAATTGTATATTCTTCATAATCTTTTTAGTAGCGCCATACATGTTATTCAGGTGAGCGCTGATTTTGAGAAACATTTGTGTGTGAGGTATTTTCATATACCCAGGATTATGTCAATCTTCTGTGAAAGTTTATTTGATGCGCTCCAAAAGCTCTCAGTTTCTTCTTGTAAAAACATTACCTCATGAGATCCATGTGAAAAGTTGAGCCGTGCGATGTTCATTCCACTTGTAATCATTTGCTTCAGCATTTCCACGGAG